CCACTGCAACGCGACACTTTAGCCACGCGCGTGCCGCTGAAGGGCCATGGAGTGTCCGACATCTTTTTCCATTAGTTAGAGTGGAAGCAGAACTGAGGAGAAAAGGCACTGGCGTGTAGTAGTAGGGCAGTGTAGTATCCTGTCATTTTGGCCACCGCAACGCGGCACTACAGCCGCGGACGTGCCGCAGTAGGGCTATAGACTGTCCGCATTCTTTGGCCACTGATTAGAGCGGAATCCGAACTGAGGAGTAAAGGCACTGGTGTGAAGTAGTAGGGTAGTGTAGTTTCCTGCCATTTTGGTCACCGCAACACGGCACTACTGCCGAGCACGTGCCGCAGTAGGGCCATGAAGAGTCCGCCATCTTTGGCCACTGATTAGAGCAGAAGCGCAACTGAGAACTAAAGTCTTTGGTATGGTCTAGTATGGCAGTGTAGTGTTCACCATTTTGGGCCACCAAAACGCGGCACTACAGCCACGCACGTACCACTGTAGGGCCGTGGTGTGTCCGCCATCCTTGGCCACGAATTAGAGCGGAAGCTCAACTGAGGAGTACAGGCACAGGCGTGTCGTAGAAGGGCAGGGTAGAGTCCGCCATTTTGGGGCACCGCAACGTGGCAATACAGCCGTGCACGTGCCGCAGTAGGTCCGGGGAGTGTTCGCCATCTTTGGCCACAGATTAGAGCGGAAGCCCAACAGAGGAGTAAGGGCACTGGCGTGTCGTAGTCGGGCAGTGTAGAGTCCGACATGTTGGGCCACCGCAACGCGGCACTACAGCCGCGCACGTGCCGCTAAAGGGCCAAGGAGTGTCCGCCATCTTTGGCCACAGATTAGAGCGGAAGCCCAACTGAGGAGTAAAGGCACTGGCGTGACGTAGTAGGGCAGTGCAGAGTCAAACATTTCCGGCCACTGCAACGCGGCACTACAGCCGCGCACGTGCCGCAATAGGGCCGTGGAGTGTCCAACATCTTTGGCAACGGATTAGAGCGGAAGTCCTACTGAGGAGTAAAGGGACTGGCGTGTCGTAGTAGGTCCAAGGAGGGTCCGCCTTCTTTGGTCACTAATTAGAGCTGAAGCCGAAGTGAGGAGTAAAGTGTTTGGAAGGGTCTAGTAGGGCAGTGTAGTGTCCACCATTTTGGGCCACCAAAAAGCATTTTGGGCCACTTCAGCCGCGCACGTGCCGCAGTAGGGCCGTGGAGTTACCGCCATCTTTTTCCACTATTTAGAACGGAAGGCCGAACTGAGGAGTAAAGGCACTGGCGTGTAGTAGTAGGGCAGTGAAGTTTCCTGCTATTTTGGCCTCCGCAACGCAGCACTACAGTCGCGGAAGTGCCGCAGTAGGGCTATGGAGTGTCCGCCATCTTTGGCCACTGATTAGAGCGGAAGTCGAAATAAGGAGTAAAGGCACTAACGTGTCGTAGAAGGGCAGTGTAGAGTCCGAAATTTTGGACCACCGCAACGCGGCAATAAAGCCGCGCAAGTGCCGCAGTTGGGCCTTGGAGTTTCAGCCATCTTTTGCCACTGATTAGAGCTGAGGAGTAAAGGCACAGGCGTGTCGTAGAAGGGCAGTGTAGAGTCTGCCGTTTTGGGGCTCCGCAACGCGGTACTACAGCCGCGCACGAGCCGCATTAGGGCCGGGGAGTGTTCGCCATCTTTGGCCACGGATTAGAGCGGAAGCCTAACTGAGGAGTAAAGGCACTGGCGTGCCGTAGTAGGGCTGTGTAGAGTCCGATATTTTGGGCCACCGCAACGCGACAATAAAGCCGCGCACGTGCCGCAGTAGGGCCATTTAGGGTACGCCATCTTTGGCCACTAATTAGAGCGGAAGCGCAACTGAAAACTTAGGTCTTTGGTAGGGTCTAGTAGGGCAGTGTAGTGTCCGCCATTTTGGGCCACCGCAAAGCTTCACTACAACCACGCACGTGTCGCAGTAGGGCCGTGGAGTGTCCGCCATCTTTGGCCACTGATTAGAGCGGAAGCCGAACTGAGGAGTAAAGGCACTGGCGTGTCGTAGTCGGGTAGTGTAGCATCCGACATAATCTGCCTCCGCAAAGCTGCACNCAAATCGTGTGTTAAATGTCTAATTTGTGCTAAGAGACGTTGGTCGATCATGTGTGCAGAATTATCGCCAAACAAGCACGCTATAGACTGTCCGCCACCTTTAGCCACTGATTTAAGCGGAAGCCCAACTGAGGAGTAAAGGAACAGGCGTGTCGCAGTAGGGCAGTGTAGAGTCCGCTATTTTGGGGCACCGCAACACGGCACTACAGCCGCGGACGTGCCGCAGTAGGGCTATGGAATGCCAGCCATCTTTGGTAACGGATAAGAGCGGAAGCTGAACNTGTCGTCGTAGGGCAGTGTAGAGTCAGATATTTTTGGCCAACACTGCTCAGCACTACAGCCGCGGACGTGCCGCAGTAGCGCTATAGACTGTCCGCCACCTTTAGTCACTGATTTAAGCGGAAGCCCAACTGAGGAGTAAAGGAACAGTCGTGTCGCAGTAGGGCAGTGTAGAGTCCGCTATTTTGGGGCACCGCAACGCGGCACTATAGCCGCGGACGTGCTGCTGTAGGGTTATGGAGTGTCCACCATCTTTGGCAACTGATTAGAGCGGAAGCACATCTGAGGAATAAAGCCACAGGCATGTCGTAGTAGGGCAGTGTAGAGTCCGACATTTTGGGGCACCGCATCGCGGCACTACAGCTGCGGACGTGCTGCAGTAGGGCCATGGAGGGTCCGCCATATTTGGCCACTGATTTAAGCGAAAGCCGAACTGAGCAGTAAAGGAACAGGCGTGTCGTAGTAGGGCAGTGAAGTGTCCGCCATTTTGGGGCACCGCAGCGCGGCACTACAGCCGCTGACGTGTCGCAGAAGGTCTATAGACTATTCGCCATCTTTGGCCACTGATTTTAGCGGAAGTCGATTTAAGGAGTAAAGGCACTGACGTGTCGTCGTAGGGCAGTGTAGAGTCCGATATTTTGGGCCACCGCAACACTGCACTACAGCCGTGATGTGCCGCATTAGTCACTACAGCCGCGCGCTTGCCGCAGTATGGCCATGAATGGTCCGCCATATTTGGCCTCTGATTTAAGCGGAAGCGCAACTGAGAACTTAAGTCTTTGGTATAGTCTAGTAGGGCAGTGTAGTGTCCGCCATTTCGAGCCACCGCAACGCGTCTCAACAGCCTAGTACGTTCCGCAGTAGGGCCGTGGAGTGTCCGCCATTTTTGGCCACTGATTAGAGCGGAAGCCGAACTGAGGAGAAAAGGCACTGGCGTGTAGTAGTAGGGCAGTGTTGAGTCCACCATTTTGGGGCACCGCAACGCGACACTACAGCCGCGTACGTGCTGCGGTAGGGCAATGGACTGTCCGCCATCTTTGGCCACTAATATGAGCTGAAGCCGATCTGAAGAGTAAAGGCGCTGGCGTGTAGTAGTAGGGCAGAGTAGAGTCCGATATTTTGGGCCACCGCAACGTGACACTACAGACGTGCACGTGCTGCGGTAAGGCTATGGATTGGCCGCCATCTTTGGCCACAAATTAGAGCGGAAGCCGAACTGAAGAGTAAAGGCACTTGCGTGTCGTGGTAGGGTAGTGTATAGTCCGACATTTTGGGAAACCGCACCGCGGCACTACAGTCGCGGACGTGCTGCTGTAGGGCTATGGAGTGTCCACCATCTTTGGCCACTGATTAGAGCGGAAGCTCATCTGAGGAGTAAAGCCACAGGCGTGTCGTAGTAGGGCAGTGTAGAGTCCGCCATTTAGGGGCACCGCAACGCGGCACTACAGCCGCAGACGTGCCACAGTAGGGCCACGGAGGGTCCGCCATATTAGGCCACTGATTTAAGCGGAAGCGCAACTGAGAACTTAAGTCTTTGGTAGAGTCTAGCAGGGCAGTGTAGAGTCCGACAATTTGGGGCACCGCATCGCGGCACTACAGCCGCGGACGTGCTGCAGTAGGACCATGGAGGGTCCGCCATATTTGGCCACTGATTTAAGCGAAAGCCCAACTGAGGAGTAAAGGAACAGGCGTGTCGTAGTAGGGCAGTGAAGTGTCCGCCATTTTGAGGCACCGCAACGCGGCTTTACTGCCGCGGACGTGCCGCAGAAGGTCTATAGACTATTCGCCATCTTTGGCCACTGATTTGAGCGGAAGTCGATTTAAGGAGTAAAGGCACTAACGTGTCGTCTTAGGGCAGTGTAGAGTCCGATATTTTGGGGCAACACTACGTGGCACTTCAGCAGCGCACGTGCCGCTGAAGGGCCATGGAGTGTCCGACATCTTTTTCCACTATTTAGAGCGGAAGCCGAACTGAGGAGAAAAGGCACTGGCTTGTAGTAGTAGGGCAGTGCTGTGTCCGCCCTTTTGGGCCATCGCAACACGGCACTACAGCCGTGCACGCGCCGAAGTAGGGCTATGGACTGTCCGCCATTTTTTGCCACTAATTAGAGTGGAAGCCGAACTGAAGAGTAAAGGCACAGGCGTGTAGTAGTAGGACAGTGTATAGTCCGATATTTTGGGCCACCGCAACGCGGCACTACAGCCGTGCACGTGCCGAAATAGGGCCGGGGAGTGTTCGCCATCTTTGGCCACGGATTAGAGCGGAAGCTCAACTGAGGAGAAAAAGCACAGGCGTTTCGTTGTAGGGCAGTGTAGAGTCCATTATTTTGGGGCACCGCAACGCGACACTACAGTCGCGGACGAGCTGCTGTAGGGCTATGGAGTGTCCGCCATCTTTGGCCACTGATTAGAGCGGAAGCTCATCTGAGGAGTAAAGCCACAGGCGTGTCGTAGTAGGGCAGTGTAGAGTCCGAGATTTTGCCATTTTGGGGCACCGCAACGCGGCACTACAGCCGCGGACGTGCCACAGAAGGGCTATATACTATTCGCCATCTTTGGCCACTGATTAAAGCAACTGAGAACTTAAGTCTTTGGTAGAGTCTAGCAGGGCAGTGTTGTGTCCGCCATTTTGGGAAACCGCAACGCGGCACTACAGCCACGCACGTGCCACAGTTGAGCCGTGGAGTGTCCGCCATCTTTGGCCACGGATTGTAGTGGAAGCTTAACTGAGGAGAAAAGGCACTCGTGTGTCTCAGTAGGGCAGTGTAGAGTCCGCCATTTTGGGCCACCGCAACGTGACACTACAGCCGTGCACGTGCCGCGGTAAGGCTATGGATTGTCCGCCAACTTTGGCCACAAATTAGAGCGGAAGCCGAACTGAAGAGTAAAGGCACTTGCGTGTCGTGGTAGGGCAGTGTATAGTCCGACATTTTGGGCCACCGCACCGCGGCACTACAGTCGCGGACGTGCTGCTGTAGGGCTATGGAGTGTCCACCATCTTTGGCCACTGATTAGAGCGGAAGCTCATCTGAGGAGTAAAGCCACTGGCGTGTCGTAGTAGGGCAGTGTAGAGTCCGCCATTTTGGGGCACCGCAACGCGGCACTACAGCCGCGGACGTGCCGCAGAAGGTCTATAGACTATTCGCCATCTTTGGCCACTGATTTGAGCGGAAGTCGATTTAAGGAGTAAAGGCACTGACGTGTCGTCGTAGGGCAGTGTAGAGTCCGATATTTAGGGCCACCGCAACACGGAACTACATCCGTGATGTGCCGCATTAGGGCCGGGGAGTGTTCGCCATCTTTGGCCAGGGATTAGAGCGGAAACCGAACTGAGGAGAAAAGGCACTGGCGTGTAGTAGTAGGGCAGTGTAGTATCCTTCCATTTTAGCCACCACTGCTCAGCACTACAGCCGCGGACGTGCCTCAGTTGGGCTATAGACGGTCCGCCATCTTTAGTCACTGATTTAAGCAAAAGCCCAACTGAGGAGTAAAGGAACAGGCGTGTCGCAGTAGGGCAGTGTAGAGTCCGCTATTTTGGGACACCGCAACACGGCACTACAGCCGCGGACGTGCCGCAGTAGGGCTATGGAATGTCCGCCATCTTTGGTAACGGATAAGAGCGGAAGCTCAACTGAGGAGTAAAGGCACAGGCGTGTCGTAGTAGGGCAGTGTAGAGTCCGCCATTTTGGGGCAACGCAACGGGGCAATAAAGCCACGCACGTGTCGCAGTAGGGCCGTGGAGTGTCCGCCATCTTTGGCCACTGATTAGAGCGGAAGCCGAACTGTGGAGTAAAGGCACTGGCGTGTCGTAGTCGGGCAGTGTAGAGTACGCCATTTTGGACCACTGCAACGCGACACTTTAGCAGCGCACGTGCCGCTGAAGGGCCATGGAGTGCCCGACATCTTTTTCCATTAGTTAGAGTGGAAGCAGAACTGAGGAGAAAATGCACTGGCGTGTAGTAGTAGGGCAGTGTAGTATCCTGTCATTTTGGCCACAGCTACGCAGCACTACAGCCGCGGACGTGCCGCAGTAGGGCTATAGACTGTCCGCCATCTTTAGCCACTGATTTAAGCGGAAGCCCTACTGAGGAGTAAAGGAACAGGCGTGTCGTAGTAGGGCAGTGTAGAGTCCGATATTTTGGGCCATCGCAACACGGCACTACTGCCGTGCACGTGCCGCATTAGGGCCGGGGAGTGTTCATCATCTTTGGACACGGATTAGAGCGGAAGCCCAACTGAGGAGTAAAGCCACAGGCGTGTCGTAGTAGGGCTGTGTAGAGTCCGCTATTCAGGGGCACCGCAACGCGGCACTACAGCCGCAGACGTGCCACAGTAGAGCCACGGAGAGTCCGCAATCTTTGGCAACGGATAAGAGCGGAAGNTAAGCCATTTTGGCCATGAGAACTTAAGTCTTTGGTAGAGTCTAGTAGGGCAGTGTAGAGTCCGACATTTTGGTTCACCGCATCGCTGCACTACAGCCGCGGTCATGCTGCAGTAGTAATTGACCTATAATTATTTCCTGTGGAACACTACAGCCGTGCACGTGCCGCATTAGGGTGCGGGAGTGTTTGCCATCTTTGGCCACTGATTAGAGCGGAAGCCCAACTGAGAACTTAAGTCTTTGGCAGGGTCTAGAAGGGCAGTGTAGTGTCCGCCATTTCGGGCCGCCGCAACTCAGCACTACAGCCACGCACGTGCCGTTGTATGGCCGAGGAGTGTCCGCCATCTTTGGCCACTGCTCGAGCGGAAGCCGAACTGTGGAGTAAAGGCACTGGCATGTTGATGTCGGGCAGTGTAGCGTCCGACAAGTTGGGCCACCGCAACGCATCACTACAGCCCTGCACGTGCCGCTGAGGGGCCATGGAGTGGCCGCTATCTTTTCCCACTATTTAGAGCGGAAGCCAAACTGAGGAGTAAAGGCACTGGCGTGTCGTAGTAGGGCAGTGTAGTTTCCTGCCATTTTGGCCACCGCAATGCGGCACTACAGCCGCGGAC